AATAAAACGCGAGAATCTTGATTCTGGACCATACAAATAGAAGACTTGGAGATAAGAGGTACTCATAAAACCAAAAATAAAAAGAAGAGTACCAGAGAGAGAGAGAGAGAGAGAGAGAGAGAGAGAGAAGATCTTACCAGAATATGAAAATAAAATAAAAAAGCACGTGCAAAAGAGTCAACTGGATTTTTAACTAACATTAACCTCATCAAAAGGTTGCTGAAACTGGTCCTTAAAGTCATAATTTGAGCCTGCCGGTAAAAGCAAAATCGATCATATTATCATTCTCTACAACTTTCACTTAACAAGCACAATCAAAATAACAACGGTGTGATGCAAGGGACCCACGAGGGGCTAAAGGTAGTAAATTTCTACAAATGGGCAGGGTAAATAAAAGTACTTATCATTTTCGACCCTTTATAATCTATTTCAGAACCCTTCAATTTATTTTTAGACAATATTACATTATTGTAATGAAACGACAAGTAGATCCATGTACATAGGATGCATTAGTTGGCGGCCGATACCTTTATTCTCTAATAATTTATTAAAGATGAAGATCAATGGTAAAGATCTGTTTCCAATATTCAGCCATACCAACTAATTCAGAAAATATTTGCAGACCTCACTAAAACACAAAAGGTCACAACTCGTGACACGTGAAGACAAATGAGGCCACATCCCTACACAGTCACCTAGTGGATCAATGAACGACTCAGATTGGATATCCTTAACCAACAAGAGATATTCAACACCCAAGTTGTTGGTTTACCCAGTCTCGTAGATGGATGCACTATTAAGATTGAACATATTAAATAGAAGAATCAAACTAAAAAAGAAAAGAAACAATCGAAAATGATGTTCATTGGGGCCGAAACCATCAACTCCTTGATTCAAAGATACAAGGGGACATAACAAAGGGTTGTGTAATACGTAAGCAAGACCCTTTGGGATGCAGAACTACAATATTGTTTCATCGAGAAGATGTATAATTTCCTTGTTCAAATTTATTTATCATAAAATAAAAAAATCAAAATTTATTTAATTTTTCAAACCCAACATAGTGAGACCGATTAGCCGGTTTGTAATCCCATGTACTATCCTCCGTTCTATAATTCTTGCAACAGTTTGACTTTCACGGTTGCCAATGTACAACTTTGACTGTAATTATATTTAATTATGTATTAGTAAACTTTATAAAAAGTTGATATTTTGGAAATTCACATTGATAAGAGTTCAATAACATTTTATACATAATAATTTGATTATGTATATTAGTAGAAAATCATGGTCAAAGTAAGATCTGTGAATAGTGTAAAAATCACAATGTTGCAAGAATTATAGAACGGAGGAAGTATATAATTAGATAAATCTAATCTAGTTATGGAACATGATCTATGTGTACTTGTGACAAGGAGATGCCAAAAGAAAAAGTCTATATTTGGTGAGGAGAAGAGAGAATTGTAGATAGTTATGGTATCAAAAATGGGAAAATTTTATTGAGTCCTATATGACTCCACTATGGAGTCATGTAACATATGTGGCTTCACACAAACCACTCATTTTTAGAATGAGATCCTACACTATGAATGCGTTATAAAAATAAATGGCTATTGTGAAGCCGTATAGATGATATGATTCCATAGTGGAGTCATATAGGGCTCCATAAAATTTGTCGCTAAAAATGAGTTAAAATTCACGAGTATCCATGATTTAAAAGTGCATTGAAATGAATGAAAATTTGAATACACCTAGACATTTTTAGACTTTTAAGAGTCTACATTGAGAGTATGTTTGGCACAACTAGCTAAAAAGATACTTCAGTGGAATTTTTAGTAACCGTTAGCTTTTTGTAACTGAAAAGATCTTAAAAGGAAAAAGGTTGTAGTTGTTTGATAAAAAGTCGATTGTTTGATTTAGTTCTGTTGGAATAACAAGTTGTTGTAACTCATTAATGCTAAAAGTTACAAACTTTCTTCTAGATGTTACAAACTTTGATGCCGAACTACGGGTGGCTGATTTGATTAATATGGAGACAAGCGCGTGGGATGAAAGCAAGTTGTTCGAGTGCTTCCCCCCTGAGGAGGCTGCAGTAGTAAGAAGCATTCCGCTGAGCTCGAGACTCCCTCAAGATTCCCGCTATTGGTGGCCTACGAAAAATGGAGTCTTCACGGTGAAGTCCGCATATTGGTTAGGACTCTTGGGACCAAAGAGGCTAAAACGTGAGCGAGGAAAATCAATTTGGCAGCACATTTGGAATCTTAACATACCCCCCAAACTTAAACATTTTATGTGGCGAGCTATTACAGGATGTTTGGCAACGAAAGAAAGACTATGGATAAGACACATTGCCCAGAAACCTCAATGCCCAGTATGCAATGCTTCGGTCGAGACTTCTAGCCATATGCTATTCTCATGTAAATTCTCTAGAAAAATATGGCAAGATGAAACATGGAGAAGACTGTTTGAGGTCGCGCCGATCCATTCTGTGGCTGATGTAGTGTGCTGGGTCCTAGAGAATATGAGAGAGGAACTATATGACTTCATTAACAATTGTTGGGTGGCGTGGACATGTAAAAACAAGGCTGTTTTCGAGCTTGGTGAACCAAAGGTGGAGCTGATTCATGCGGGGTTTCAACAATATGTTGAGGACTACCAAAGATACGCTGCTAAAGTTTATAAGGCACCAATTTGTCCTGCTGGTCCAAGACTCGAGAAATGGCTTAAACCTCCGCCAAGTTTCATCAAAGTGAATTGTGATGCAGCCATTTTCAAAGGAGGTGTGGGTCTCGGGGCTGTTTTAAGAGATGAAAATGGCCAAGTTCAGGCTGCAGGTGTAAAGAGAATAGATGCTAGATGGGAACCTGGTATGGCTGAATATGCAGCGGCAGTTTATGGTCTGAATTTGGCTCACCATATGAGAGTGCAAAAGATTTTGATTGAAAGTGATGCAGTCAACTTCATAATTGCAGCAGAGTCGGGGAGGGAGGACCGAACTGCTCTCGGGCTTTTTCTTGACGATATCTACATTATGAAATCTAAATTTGTAAAGCTTAAATTTTCTCATGTAAAGAGGAATGGTAATGCGGTTGCGCATATGATAGCTAGAATGGTTCCTAATTATGGATCTAAACAAATTTTTGTAACCAATCTACCAGAAGATATATTATCTCTGGCTGAACGTGATTTAAATTGATATAATAGTAAGGTTTCTTAAAAAAAATGTTACCAGAGCTGTTAACGAACCGAACTTTTATCGAACTATTCAAGTTCGAGCTCGATTTTGAACCTAACGAGCCGAGCTTAACGAGCTTTCGAACTCGAACCCGAGTTGAGTTTTAAGTTCGAAAAGTTAACCGAGTCGAGCTCAAACATAGTAGTATTCGGCCCAGTTCGAACTCGAGCCTATTGAACACCGTTAAATTATAAATATAATTTATATATATGTCAAAAAACAAATATAATTAGTATTATTTTATGAATTTAAATATGATTATTAACGAACCGAATACTTGTCGAATCATTCAAGCACGAGCCTGTTAACGAGCATCACCTAAAATTTTAAATTTGAGCATATTTATCGAGCTTATTGAGCGCTCGGTTCAAACATCGAACGCCTATCGAACCGAACATGAGCCTCATTTGTAAAGCTCGCCGAGCTTGGAGCTCGAATCCGAACACTACTAATTCCTTATCAAGCCGAACTCGAGCTTTGTGTGTTCGGGCTTGGCTCGTTAACAGCCCTAGATGCTACTTGCTATAGTTTCTCAAAAAAATCTTCTTTTTGAGAAAAACTCTTAAAAATTGTCATGTCGAATATACAATTAAAATTTTTTAGAGACTTTTTAAATAGTACAAAAATTAGAAAAGATAGGAGATTATGCTTAACAAATATTGACCATATACAATTCTATACCATTCGTCATTCCGAATCCCCACTTTCGCATTTTCCCTTCATCGTCTATGATATTTTCTTCGAAGGTAAATGTGTTTCACATACACTAGCGGGTGAAATATTTACAAGGTCGGAGACGCCCGTTCGTAATCTCTGGTAAGCTATAGCTCGAACTAGGGGGCGACCGCCGTGAGGGCAAGGATGGGCTCCAGCCCTTCCCAATTTTTTCTTTTTTTAATTAGTATAAGTATAAGTTGGAAAATTCACAACCACATAATTTCTATTCACAGCTTATAAAATTAATATAAATAAATAAAAGCAATTCAAATATCAACAATACCTTATACCGATAAATGCAATTGCCATAACAGTTCGCGCAAGTCTAAAATTAATTCTGCATAATAGGTTTTACACATGGAATGTAACTCTCTTCAATGAATCTCCTCAAGCAACCATATTTGCATCAAGACAACTTCTCCACGGTTGACCGCAATCCCTTAAGTGCATACATATATCCACAATCATGGAACTACTAATTCAAGCCTGAATTAGTAACAATATGAGAAAAACTATTGCTGCAATTTAATTTTAGTTCGTGTTGTTTAATTGGTAAGGATGTGAACTTTAATGGGAAATAAAATATAAAATGAAAAAGCAACAAGTATGTTCTTCTATGTGACATTCCAAATCACACACTTCACTCTGTTTTTGATGTAAGGAACTAAAAGAACAAATAAATGCTAAATCACAGGTGACATGATGGACTAGTGTATCCAAGGAAAACCTAAAAAAAACACAATCAATCTATCATCATTCCCCCTGTGTCTCAAAGGCTCCCACCTACGGTAGGGTAAGGGGAAGTCGGATGTACACAGTCTTACTCCTGTATTAAAGCACAGAGAAAATGTTTTCAAATGACCCATAATGAAAATCGCATCCAAAATTGCATGGACTGCTGCTGATTCATAACAAAAAAGATCAGATAATTTGGTGAGCCATTTTGGTGGCTTAGGGTGGAAGAAGAGAGTCAAGGGCAAAACAGACGTTTTAAAATATAATTCATTTAATAATCTTAATATTGGGGCTATAATTAGTAATGATGTGACCGAAAATAGAATTTTCCGTATAGGGTTAATTACCGGCCCATCCCAAAATTAATTCCCAGCGTCTCCTTTGCGAACGGTCGGAAGTGCGAAGACGGATGAACGAAGGTCGAAGAACGAAGAGTGAAGACGGAGCTTCCGACGAACAAGCTGTGAGCTGCGAGCCTGCGACGAAGAAACTGTGAGCTGCGAGCCTGCGAAATACGCGAACACCAGGCCACCATCCGCTCCGCCTGCCGCCGTCCACGGCCCTGCACAGGCCGTCCTTCCTCTCCGGACTCCGGCTCTCACCTCTCCGATTCCGGCTCTGCCAATCTTCCTGCGGCTCTGCCTCCAGCAGCCGGCTCCACGCCTCCACTGCTCCAGCCTCCAGGAGTCCAGGTATACTCTAACTCTAATATTCTTTTAGATTTTTAATCTATTATTTTGTGACTTTGTGTTATTGTGTATTATTATTTTTAGCCTTTAAGGGTTAGGTAACAATGTGATAATTAATTGAATTTTTTAGTACATATAAAATAGTGTTTAATTCATTATAATATAATGATTAAAGATAGAATTAAAGATTAGAGAATAATTTGTTTATTATACAATTGAAAATTAGAGAATGATTTATTTATCGTGTGGATGTGTAAGAAAGAATTGAAAATTTCAATTGAATTTTGAAATTGGGAAAAATTATTAGTTTTATGTACAACAATTGTTTTCTCTCATTAGTTTTATAATTTTAAAGATTTTTTTTAATTCATACCTATATTAAAAATGTTTTTCAGAATGGATAATGAACATATTGCCCAGACAGGAAAATGAAATGAATATTTACTTAGTACGAAATTGAGCTTGAGTTTGGTTCGATTTTAACACACGATAAACATGCTTGAATGTAGAAGTTTAGACTATACTCGTTAATAGATTCATGTTCGAATTATTCAATAAATACTCGAATCTTTAATAATTTTATAAAATTGCAGGGAAAACGTTTAAATTTTAAGATATACTCTGTATATAATTTATTCCTATAATTTGTAAGTGAACAATAGGCTCGAGCCTGGAACAAATCAAACATCACGATGTTCAAACTTGGCTTGAATTATTATTCAAACTCAAAACCTAGTATGCGTTCGAGTTCGAAGCTCGTTAAACTCGGGTCATTAAATTAGAAGCAAAATCAAGCTCGAGATCGAGTATATAATTAAAAAAAGCTCGATTCGGTAACAGTCCTGACCTAAAAATTTTACTGCTTAGCCCATCCCACATCTCAATCCTGGATCTGCTCCTGGTTCGAACATCATCTTCCCCATTCTGAATCACCCCTTTCCCAATTCTTGAGTTCTTCGATGATTTTTGCTTTGTTAATAAAGCTTTGCCTCTGAAATCGGTAGTTGCTCGTCTGGAGTCACTCGGGTTGTAATATCTCCGGTAATATATTGTTTGAACTTGGCAATTGCTATTTAATTTTTACCTTTCTACTCATCTTTTTGATTTCCTTGTGTTTTATATCCACCACTTATATTCTAGAATTTTACTACGTGCACTTCAATCTTGAAAATTAGAAAATTAGTCTATGTTTGAATATGTGTTTGTCTTAGACTTTTTGTTCTTGCATGTTGTGTTATTTCATTTTTATTTATCTGAATATGGTGTTCATATGCGACCAATACTGTCATTGTGATGTTGCTCCTGTTTTTTGTAGTATTTTATCCTTTTATATAATCTAAAACCGAGCAATCACGTTGTACGTACTAAATATGCTGCTCTATTTGGGATGTGGGAGTGACTCAATAAATTTTAGTGTTGTGTGGTGTACGGGCAGTACGGCGTAGTAGTCACTGGACAGGTTCATGGATTAGGGCCATTGAATTTCAAATGTGTTGGCCCTAATCATTATTTAATGTAGGTGAAGCTGTGCTTGGTATCTTTATCCTTTCAGGCCACCGGCTTAGCAGCTACACCAAAATAAATTATTTGTTACATTTTGAGATTTATTTGTATTGGTGGATTTAAATGGAAGTAGACTCAAATGGATCAGAGTGAAATTCATAAAAAAACTCCTTTGTGACTGGTGAGGTCAAGTCATCGCGATCCAAGGGGCCAACACGTTCCCTTGGGCTTTTGTTGGATCTTTTGTCATTATGATGTACTTAGTGAGTCATTAATTAATAATGAAGGCAAAAACAATAAGAAGGGAAGAAGGTAAAGTGCATCAAGCTCTATTAATCGATTTAGAATGATTACAGCACACCCTTACGGAGTCTGAGCCCCAATCATCTAATTATAAGTTGAGAGTTTACAGGAGAATCTAGAGAGAGAGAAGCAAAGCTTTTGAATGCAAGTTTGCCAACTCTTTACAATGAAATAAATGCAAGTATTCCATATGTGCATTAAATGTGTTTCATGTCATTTCCTTGATTTCCTGCAATCCCGCCAACTTCTTGGTTGAGTGGGCTGGGTGCCCGAAGATAGCAATCCAGGAATCTCATCAAGTGTTATGACCCACTCGACCCATGTCGTTGGTGGAGTGGCCTGGGTTTGCTCCTTGGGCTGTTGGGCCACCCGGTCCGTTGGGGGTATATGGGTCTGCCCTCTGCTGGGCCCAATACCCCAACAATGACATTACTGTGTCTTTTTATTTTTAAAAGAGATAAAAAATATAAGTCAGAATAACAAATGGAGTAAATGGAAGAAATAAAAAACTAAAAACGGATGGGAGGCCCAAACCTATTGAAGTGAAGTTATTCGGAGTACTGTTTTCCACTTGATTGAAATTCATTCAAACTAGAAATCAACCAGCCTAAGCCAAACTCGAGCTCAAATTAACACCCTAGCCCCTAGCCTTGACCAACCTTTAATCTGCAAACACCCGCAATACCTAATTCACCAGCAATCAAAGAGATACCAGATACCAGCTCGTCCCATCATTTGCTTGGATTCCCAGATTCAATAAACATATTAACAGTCTGTTTGGTGACCATATTTTTCGGCTTATCAGCATTATTAGCCAACTTTTTCATTAAGCACATAACCTTTGATTTCACGCGCTGGATTGTATATTAATCAAAATAAGTTACTGGAAATGCCATTTTAGTTATTTTTCATATAATTTTTCTTTATTTATTACTACCTCCGTCCCTTTTATATTGGTACGGAGGAGGGTGGCACGATTATTAAGAAAAGTGGGTTTGTGTGGTTGATATTAATTGATAAAGTAAGAATAAAGTAAGAATGATTTAGAGCCACACAAACTTTACCAAACATGGTATGGGACAATATTAGTGGGACTTCCCAAAAAGGTAAAACGGGACAATATAAGGGGGACGGAGGGAGTAATAAAATATGGAGTATGTTTTACAATTTACATATAATTTTTTTCTTAAATCAGCAGAATCAGCCGATTTACGTCAATTTGACCCCTTACCGAACAGGCTTTTAAAATAGGAATGCTTTCATTCATTATTAGTTTGGATCCAAACAGACTGAAGCATTAACAGAGCAGTGAAAGACGCCGGTTGAAGCAGCTAGCCAATAAGTTCACGCAGGTGTGGACACTGGAAAGGGGTTGCTGGCTCGCCGAGAGTTTTGTAGCTGAGATATCACATGAAGAACGAGTAGATGCAGGATGGATAACAAAAACGTCGTCGTCTGCGACAATGGCACAGGGGTAAAATTCTTATATTTTATTGTGCAATCTTCTCCTTTATTGCTTAAACACTTATATCCAGTTCTATGATCTCTTGAGACACACTGTTGAATATGTTGTCGGGTATACTTGATTAGCTTGTCATCTGCTGTGTTACTCAGAATTGTACATAATGTAATTATTATGTTGCTCTAGGTACTTAATTTGCTTATGATTGGTCAAATCTGATGTTACGGACCTAGCCCATACTAGGCCCATACCATTGCCATAAGCCCAGGTGTAGAACTCATTCCTAAAAGACCAGCCCATTAGGAGGGAACACCTTGCTTATAAATGAAAGACCAGCCCATACTTGATCAGTGTGGGATCGTTACATCTGATAAATGAAACAACACATGGCTTCATTAGAAACACCTTGTGTTTGAAAAACAAATGATTTTTGATGATTAATGTGTTGTAGATTTCTCACCTATTGCTGTTGATTAGTATATATGGAGTATGCTTTTCATTTCTGCGGAGTGCCTAGTGCCTACTTACATACTCTGATTACCTCTATGTGAATGCAGTATGTCAAATGTGGCTTTGCAAATGAGAATTTCCCCACGTCTGTTTTCCCTTGCGTGGTGGGGAGGCCAATGTTGCGATATGAAGAATCCCTTATGGAACAAGACATCAAGGTGGAATGGTCTTTCTACTATTTGTTACCTTTAGGTTTTAGAAGTCTCAATGGATGTATCTGTATCTCCTCATTTCAAAATATTACTCCCTGCGTCATGGTTTCATTTGGCAGTTGGCACAAAGTTTAAGAAAATAGAAATTATGTGGCTGAGATTTACATAGAATGATGTTGACGAATATCTCAACCAAAACGTTTTTACTTACAAGGGAAAATGAAGATTGTTTATGGGCAGCCCAAAAAGCACAGTAGGATGGTAAAAAGGCGAGGGAGTATATTTATATCACTGCTTACTAACACTTATGGTAATTTGAGTTCTTCTTTGTTTCTTAAGAATTTAAACATCCACTTAAGGTTACACTCCCATGACATGAGTACATGTGTTAGAATTTAAAACCATCCTGGTATCCGACTTCTTAAAAATATAAAATACAAACCAACGTATAAGGTCTTGAGCTAGTCTTTCTATAGGATTGACCTTGGAGTGAGCCTTAAAACTTAGTATGGTATCTGTGATGTTATATTACCAGCTACTGTTATAGGATATTGCTGTTGGAGATGCATGTTTAAAGTTGCGGCACCAATTAGATATATCTTATCCTGTCAACAATGGGATTGTGCAAAACTGGGATGATATGGAACATGTCTGGGACCATGCATTTTTCAATGAGCTGAAGGTAGTCCTGATTCTCATTTCCACTGCAAATTAAATTAAAGTTTTTTTAATGAAATAACTTGGTGTGTTTCAAAATAGTTTCTACATCATACTATTTATTGAACACATTTGTTTCAACATTTTAATCTCTTTGAGATTAGAAAATGGTGTCTGTGCGAAAAGATGAGTTTTTTGTTTTTACTGACCTGTAGACGACATCTTGTTGTACTTTGTATGAATAAAAATCGAGTCTATGTAAACAAAATTCATGTTGTATAAATTAGTTGAACATCAAGCATCACCCTTGTTTATTTAACTGATGGGGCTTTACTATTTTATCTCTTATTGAAGGTCGATCCAACAGAATGCAAAATTTTGCTCACAGATCCACCTCTCAATCCATCAAAGAACCGTGAAAAGATGGTTTGTCCTTATACCTCTTCTTATTCAGATGTTTTTTTATTTCTTTCGTAATACATCTGACTCTTGCTTTGTAAGTATTTGAATAACAGGTAGAAACAATGTTTGAGAAATACAACTTTGGGGGTGTCTTCATTCAGATTCAAGCTGTCCTAACATTATATGCCCAAGGTGCTTAGTTTAGAAATGAATAACTCAAAAATATATGTTGTAGCCCTTTTATTTTTGGAGTAGACATTTTTTTTATATTTTTTTAAAGGAAAAACAGTTAACTATTATTAATCAAATCGTGGTGAAGAGACTTGAATAAAAAAGAGTTCTAAGGGAGAGAATAATTTTCTGGTTGTGTGTCTATCCACAACCCTGAACTCCTTTATTTATAATAATGAGAGTACAAGTACATTAATGAGCGAAAGGAGGTGAAAGGTCAAATGAAATGAAAGGTCAGTTCTAGAATAATACAGTTGAGTCTATTTAGCTACCAATAAATCTAGATAAATCTAACACTCCCCTCTGAGCATACAAATTGTATGTACCAAGCTTGGAACAAATGAATTCAATTCAAGGACCTCTCAAAGATTTTGTCAACGCATCTGCAAGTTGACTATTGGATCCAATAAATTCGGTGCTGATTTCTTTAGACATCAGCTTTTCTCGAACAAAATGATAATCGATCTTTATGTGTTTAGTTCTCTCATGGAACACCGGATTTGAGGCAATGTGAAGGGCAACTTGGTTATCACAATAGATCTTCATTTGTTGAACCTTACATAACTTTAATTCTTGAAGAAACTGTTTTACCCATATGAGCTCACAAGTGGATAGTCTATCCACAGGGCTACTACATTGCCCTATATTCAGCTTCAGCGGAGGATAGGGCTACTACATTTTGTTTCTTGCTTTTCCAAGAAATAATATTTCCTCCAAGAAAGACACAATATCCTGTGGTGGATCGTCTATCCACAGGAGATCCTACCCAATTAGCATCACAATACCCAAGGATTTGAGTATTCCCTTTGTCTTCATGTAGCAAGCCTTGTCCTGGAGCTTTTTTTATGTATATTAGGATGCGAATGACAGCATTCCACTGCATACACCTGCTAGAATTGACTAACACCACCAACTGCAAACGATAGGTCCGGTTTAGTGATAGTGAGATAAATGAGCTTCCCAACCAACCGTCACCTCTCTGGATTAGAAAACACTTCTCCATGTTCTGGCATTAACTTTTGGTTTGGGTCCATAGGACTATCTAAAGGCTTACAATCAATCATTCCTATTTCTTTTAGCATATCAAGAACATATTTCCTTTGAGAGATTCAACACCTTTTAATTCGGCCACTTCAATGCCCAAGAAATATTTGAGACTCCCGAGATCCTTGGTCTGGAAATGACTGCCCAAGTGTTTCTTCAAGTGAGATATTCTTGCAGCATCATTTCTTGTGATAACAATGTCATCCACATACACTATCAAGTAAACACATTTTCCAGGAGACGTGTGGCAATAGAACTAAATTTTCCAAACCAAGCTCGTGGGGATTGCTTTAGACCATAGAGAGAACGGTGTAACTTGCACACCAAACCAGACTCTCCCTGAGCAACGAACTTGGGAGGTTCCTCCATGTAAACCTTCTCATCCTGATCACCATGTAGGAATGCATTTTTTATGTTTAACTGATAAAGTGGCCAATGGCAAATGGCTGCCATGGCAAAAAAGAGACGAATTATAGTCATTTTGGCCACTGGAGAAAAGGTATCACTGTAATCAAGGCCATAGATCTGGGTGTATCCCTTGGCAACTAACCGAGCTTTGAGACGATCCACTCCTCCATTAGGACCAACTTTAATGTCATAGACCCATCGACATCCAACTGCTTTCTTTCCTGGTGGAAGAGGAACTAATTCCCATGTTTATTATGTTCAAGGGCCTGCATTTCTTCTGCAATCATGGCTTGTCGCCATTCAGGATGATCAAGTGCTTCATTCACATCTGTAGGAATTGTGATTGAGGAGACAAAGGATATAAAGTTACAATAAGAAGGAGCAAGTCTATGATAGCTAAGGAAATTGTAAATGGGATGTGGATTACGGGTAGAGCGAGTACCTTTCAGGATAGCAACCGGCCTGATATGAAGCGGGAAGAGCATGGGGCGGGACGGGCTTGAGCCCACCTTCGTGGGCTGGCTGCGAGCAATTTAATTAATTTTAATTATTCCTTTTATTTTGTTTCCTAATTTATTTTGTTTCCTAGTATGATTTAATTAGGACTTCTATTAATTAGATGTTTCCTATTTCTATTTAGTTTCCTTGAATGGTTTACTTAGGACTCCTATTATGTTTCTTACTAGGATTTAGTTTCCTATTCATTTTTGGATGTAAGGGTTATATAAACCCCTGCCTAGGTTTATTCAAATCAGGCATTAATAATATTGGTTTTAGCTATTTAGCTCTGGGCAACGGATCCAGCCGTTGATTATTTTGGGCAACGGGTTACCCCGTTGATTTTATTTTTCTGTTCTTATCAATTGGTCCGACCTGCCGGATCCCGTCCCGCCAAGATGACGAGATCTCAGAATGATCGATTGACAGAGCTGGAGAACGAACACACTCGTATGAGAGAAGAAGTGACCCGGATAAGGGACGAACAGGCAGAGCATGGTGGCAAGCTGTCGAAGATCATCGCCTCACTAGCGGCGTTGACCCAGGTGATGGTCCCGCCGGTCACACCGAAGAAAGCCGCGGATGACGTGGGTCGAATCCCGGCAACCGAGCAGCATGGAGAAGGCGTGCTGAGCAATCCAACTATAACGCTGTTTCCGTCGTTCGATGGGGGAGACCCAATTGGGTGGATCGCTCGGGTAGAGCAACAGTTCGAATTACACAACACTTTACCGGAAAAGAAGGTGGCTGCCGCGATGGTAGCTATGGAAGGAGGAGCGCTTTACTGAGTGACCTGGCTGAGATCGCGCAGGCCCGGGATGACTTGGGCAGATTTCAAGCAAGCCTTGGTGGACAGATTTGATTCTCGATTTCAGGGGAATAAGTATGAACGATTGTCCGGAGTCAGGCAAATTGGGTCTATAGAAGATTACAACATCTTGTTTGTTCAGCTAGCAAGCCAAGTTCTAGGGTTACCCGATGAGCACTATTTGGGATATTACATGAGCGGTCTTAAGGAGATAATCCGAAGCTCGCTGCGATTGCTCCGACCAAACAACCCGGAGATGGCTATGGAATTAGCTCGCGAAGTGGAGTATAATCTGTCCGTCCAAAGGGGAGAAAGTGGCAGCCTGAATTATCATTCATCAGGGGTACGTTCTATGAGCCTTTTAAGGGCAAACACAAGTTCCCCGTTGACTGCCATTGGTGGCAGCTTACAGGGTTCGGAGGGCAGCTTTGCGAAAGATAGTGGACAGCCTCCGGGGACGAAGTCAGGGTTGTCTGGGCAGCCTACGACACGCTCTCAGTTCACTCGACTTCCGCCGAAAGAGTTTGCAGAACTACGGGCAAAAGGATTATGCTTTAGGTGCAAGAAACCATTTACACCAACACATGACTGTCCCTTTAAGCAGCTACGGGTAATGATAGCTGAGGAGGATGAAGAGTTGGACCTCAAGCAGCATGAATTCTGTGTAATAACCGGCCAGTAAAAGGTCCGGAAAGAGAAGAAGGATATTTTCCAGGCTATACTATGTCTGGAAATTTCAGTTCCCGATCCGCGAGTTTTCAACCTTGAGGACAAGGTTAATTTGAAGGAGGATTGATTGATATGAAGCGGGAAGAGCATGGGGCGGGACGGGCTTGAGCCCACCTTCGTGGGCTGGCTGCGAGCAATTTAATTAATTTTAATTATTCCTTTTATTTTGTTTCCTAATTTATTTTGTTTCCTAGTATGATTTAATTAGGACTTCTATTAATTAGATGTTTCCTATTTCTATTTAGTTTCCTTGAATGGTTTACTTAGGACTCCTATTATGTTTCTTACTAGGATTTAGTTTCCTATTCATTTTTGGATGTAAGGGTTATATAAACCCCTGCCTAGGTTTATTCAAATCAGGCATTAATAATATTGGTTTTAGCTATTTAGCTCTGGGCAACGGATCCAGCCGTTGATTATTTTGGGCAATGGGTTACCCCGTTGATTTTATTTTTCTGTTCTTATCACGGCCAAACCAAATTATCATTATGAGGAATTGTGGCAGAGGGCGATGATTGAGAAGGATCTGATGAAGTGGGTCACCTTGAAGAATTGGATTCACTTGTCGGGTCCTACGTTGGTATGTAATAAGAGGAGGACCTTGGCTGGAGGTTGAGTCATCTACTGAATCCAAAGGAGGTTGGCTGGCAATAGAGTCATTTGCAATAGACAGAACAAAGGACTCAATAGATGGTATAGGGAGAACTTGCTGAACAGATTGATCTCTAAGTGAGGAAAAAGGAGTTTGTTCAAAGAAAGTGACATGGACAAACATATAATATGTCTTGTTCAAAGAAAGAGAGTAACAACGATACCCTTTTTGAAGGCGGAAATAACCTAAGAAAACACATTTGACGGCCCGAGCTGAGAGTTTATCTAATCCTGGAGACATATCATGAACAAAACAGACACAACCAAACACATGAGGGGAAACATGAAAGAGAAGTTCATTAGGAAACAAGACAGAATGAGGGGTTTTATTATTAAGAGAAAAGGATGGCATTCTGTTAATAAGAAAGCAAGCGGTTAAGACAACATCTCTCCAATGATGATTTGGTACATTGGCACCAAGTAATAAGGTATGAGCAGTCTCATTCAAGTGCCTATTTTTCCTTTCAGCTACACCATTTTGTTGAGGTGTATGAGGGAAAGTGGATTGATGTAAAATGCCATGTGAACTAAGGAGGAAGGAAAAACCAATGGAGAAGTATTCCTTGGCATTATCACTCCTTAAAATTTTGATTATTGTTCCAAATTGATTGCGGATTTCATTAAGAAAGCAGGAAAAGATAGACAAACGTTCAGAACGATCCTTCATTAGATAAACCCAAGTACACTTAGAAAATTTATCAATGAACGTGACAAAATATTTAAAACCAAAAGAGGAAACCCGACTTGGTCCCCAAACATCAGAATGGATAATAGAAAAAGCAGAATCACATCTAGACTCAGAATAGCTAGGAAATGAAGACCT